CCTGCAGATATCAAAACTTGATATTTTTAAATATCATTAATTAAAAGCTGCTTTCAAGATCACAGCTACCTTGATCAAACTCAAGAACTAGGAACGGCATCAAACTCTGCAGAAATCATCCATTAACGCTAGCAGAAGCTCCTTTTGTCATGTCTTCTGATCATCTGTTCTGTTAACTTCGAGAGCAGATGCTTTGTTGCATATCATCGCAGAATCATTTCGACCCCTGTTGGTAATAACTGGAGGGCACTTTACAATTTCGTTGAGCCTAAGGTACGCTTCAGATTCTTAAGAACAGAATGGAAGGCATTTTTAGATGGTTTGGTTATATACAACAATTAGCTTAGTCATAACATCTGCTCTAATTGTTTTCGCACCTGTTTTTGACGATTTTATTCAATATGCTGTGGAAGATATGTTGTGAAGTGGAGACTTTGTTTACGATATGTGTTGTGTTAAACGAAAGTTGGAGTACTGGCAAGGATTTAGAGATTGTAATAATTTTTGTGCAAAAACAGTAGTTAAAGAATTAACAAATCGGCAAAACAATACCGCTCATAACTTTTGCAAAAAACCTGACTTCACTGGAGGCTATATAACATAACGCAATCAGACGATTCGCGGTGTTGACTTCTTACCGTATCTACCATACACCTTAGATGTTACTGTAGTATGGCATATCTTGAGATTTGTCTCGATGAACTGAGCCTAACACCGCTTTTCCTCTTAAAGATATCTATATTGAAGAAAGTTATGGTGATCACGCCTCGCTATGGATTTTTATGTAAAATCACGTTTTTTTCGCAGAAAATATAAGCTGTAGTGTATTTCTTTCCAATGATCATCAAGATGTCGACAATGTCTGATTGACAAAGCACCAATGCCGACTATTGCTCTTACATAAGAACTACCAACAGACCGTCAGTTAAAAGGGGCGGTCGTAATCTGCGCGAAATTTGCAATTAACAATCAATGCCTACTCGCAGCTAAGACGTAAACTCACCTTAGTATGATGACCAAAGTCTGAGGAGTTCTAGTGAAGAGCCATCTCAGTTTCGGCTAGATCACTACCGCTACAGTGTATGCAAACTTTTGGGACGTTCGTAAATCAAAAAAAAAAAAAACTTTTCAAGATTCTAGAAACTCGAATCAGTCTGAACTAACACCGTAGTTATGATATTGTTTTTAATTGATAACATCAAGTTTGTCATAAGAAGGTTAGCAACCCCTCGAAACCTAATCAATTGATTATTATTAGATGCAGCAAAACTTACAGGTATAAATGACCTTTGTCGCAATCATTGTCATTGTGGCTGCTTTGTGGCGTGATTAGTTAGAAATACTTATTTAATAATCTAGAACATTGTGTAATTAATAGTAATTAAAAAGCATTGCATCCACAACACTGCAGTTTACGCATCTTACCAGAACTAGGATATTACTCCAAAAAAATCAGGACGCAGGGAGTATAAGGTCGTTACGCCTATCAAAATTATCATGTTTCAGTAAGGTGTGTTACATAGGTTGGAACGAAAGTTTTGCATTAGTTTTTCCAATCCTAGAAAATACATGTAAACCTTATTACTAGCTTATAGTAAAAATTTCAATCATAGAGTATGTAAGGGCGTCGCAACCAGTCATTGCGCAAGAGATCTTTTATGAGCATCTTAGAGGCCTTTATGAAGGAAATCGTAACTGGAAATGGGAGTTGGGTCAGCTATACGCCAGTGGCTTCTGCATAAAGAACCGGCGCCAACGGGTCTTTGTAAAAAGGTACTTTTCTGTTGTTAGTGGGATGACCACTGGATGTAAACCCCCAAAGATTTTGATGATAATTGGAAATTGAAATCTAATGTCTTTAATCATAGCACCATCGGACTTCTGTTTATATAAAGCCCTCAAGCATCTCTTTTATGAAAAGAAAATTGACGTTTACTTCAACGCAAAAAAAGTTTGGTCGCTTTTTTGACTCGCAACTGGTCATTTTATGCCCAATAGACAGGTATGTTAAAGAAAAGTAGATAAAAATTCACAAATGGAAATAAGACTTTTCCAACCCATTAGTTACAAAATTCGCTCTTTAACTGGTCTATGGCAGTATCGATTATCAGGCCCTTCAAATGTGATCTAAACATAAGCAGTAAAAGTTCAAAGGTGATTGCAAAAGCATATATGCACGATGCACCACAAAAGGTGTCCACTACTAAATCGTTTACAACTCTTTTAATCTCAAATCTCTTGGATCTTAAAGCTTCTCCTTGACGAATTAACTCAAACATAAGTTCCCACATATGAACAGGTTTCAAATTTTATGTGGTTGTGGTAGAATGACGATGTAAAGCAGTAGCTAGTTCCAATGCCTATGTCAAGTACTGTCATACTTTTAAACCTCAAAACATATGGCAAAGCGTTTCAGCACTTTGGCTTTTTTGAAACCATTTTTTTGCCAGCACTGTTTCACGCCAGCACTAAAGCTGTCCAACTTTATCTCCTAATCTACCGTAATGGTCACTGTAATGATATCCAATAACAATGACCATTAAGATCTAGAAAATTCGCAGACAGGCGAGCTATTTGAAGTGTATGCATTTGGATATATTCTGTATGCATAAAAAAGCTACATAATCAATCCGCAAGATTTAGTAGCAAAAGTTTGAATTTCTACAATAATTCTTGTTTTTTTACAACAATAACCTCACCGATATCCGCTGACCCTTGTAGAGTTGATCTGTAAACAGCAACCGCTTTTCACGAAATAAGGGAAGGAGAGGCTCCGCCCATTTAACCTAAAAATTTTGCTATTTTAATGAAATATGTTATAAAGGAGCATATGTTGAAAATCACGTGGGCGCTAGTAAACCTCCTGTATATTGAGACAGCAAATTCGCAACATGTGATGAGCGCATTCGCGCCAGATCCAGGTATCTTGCACTATCCCGTGTCTCTCCAAACCGGGCGCGGTACGAACACCTCATAACATCGGCGCACCGTTAAGAGAATGCGAGGATGTTACAAGGTCTGCGAAGTCGTCGCGACAGGCGCAAAGTGAATTAAGCGCGGAATAAAGAGAGTTAAGGCTGTTACGAGGTTGCAAGCTCGGCACGCCATACTCGTAAAACTCTGTAAGGGCAGTCACAAAGCAGCGTGCATCGGGCTACGCTCGCTGTTGCAGTGTAGTCACTCTGTGTTTTAAGATGATTGTTTTTCTGAGGAGCACAGTTTAGTTTCTAAGACTTTCAGCAGGCCTCGGCACGAGGTCTCCGATAGGATATTACGAGAACGAATCCCCGCTTGAAAGTCCAGGAAATCACGAAGCCCCCTTTGCAACCTGTACAGACACGTGCAATCGCAACAAGCATTGCAGTGCGGTATATTTGGAGCGCGTTTTCTTCCTTAAGGTGATACGATTTAGGGCCCTAGCAAGGAA